CATTCTCGTCACGCCACCGCAGGACCTGAAATTCTGCAGGCCCTTAGGGATTTTTGAGAACACATGTTCACAACTCCAAAATGGACACGCCGTGATTCACCCGGCCGCCCCCTTACCATGGATACGGCACCGTCTGCCACGGGACTGCGGACGTCAAGTACACACCATGATGGCCGCCCGCAGCAGGTGAGTCCGGGACTGCTGGGCAAGCAGGTGCACCCCTCACACGCCCTCCACGCTCACCGACCAAGCTCAGGGGTGTCTGCCTCGCCCGAGCGACCCACCGGCTGCAGTCTGCTGCTCAGGGTCACCCTACGTGCGGGCGGCTTACTGGGTTTAAAAGGACGTGGAAGACAGAGATTCCCCTGTTCCAAAAACTCCCGTCTCAGGGCGAGAGCGCTGGGAGAGCGGCCCTCCCCGGGGGAATGGCCTGTCTGGAGCTGTGCTGGCAACGCTGTGGCAGGGCTGAGTGGGGGACAGAGCTGTTCTACCGACCACGGGCTCATCTAACCCAGGCTACTGGGGGTGGTGGCTTTGCTCTGTCACCACGTCCCCCGTCACATTCACGTGTGAGGACATGCTTCCTTGCCATGACCCTCTGGGGCTCACCTGGCCGCTGTCCAGCCTTAGAAGGTGTGGGGGGGAGGTCGGTGTTTTGGAAGTGGTAGGGGTGGCAGGATGGCTGGCTAGAAAACACCTGCTACCTGAGCGGGGCCGAGCCACCCACCACGGCTCAATGACAGCTAAAGACAGACGCTTTGGAAGCAGCGGAGCGACATGAGAGGCGGCGACCTCCCACGGTGGCAGGCGGGCCTGTCACTCACCATGGGGCTGCTGAACGCTGTGTGCTTGGACAGAATGGCCGTCCTCTTGGTCTCGGACCGGCTGCTCGCTCGTCGGTGAGACCTGGTGCTCTGGGTCCGGTGTGGGAGCCGCACGCCCTGGCAGCTCCCGATGCTGTCACGCCGGGGTGTGGAGCTTGCTCTGGGCACTGCCTCCTCCTCCTCCGAGTCCGCCTCCTGGTAGGTGGCCAGACGCTGGGCTGTGGGACAGGGACGGGTAAGACACTGGGGCCCAGGTGCGCAGCAGACCCGGGGCGGGCGTCTTGTTCCCTGAGGCGCCCGGCAGGGCCTCCCAGAGCACCTGAAGGGCCAGGCTGCAGTTCCCAAGGTTCTGCTTGCCGAGGAGTGATGAGCGCGGGCGCACCCTCGGTTGGCCTGGGGAGGTCGATATCCTCGACCTGTCTCACAGGTGAGAAGACGCATCCCATCCCAGGGAACATGGGCCTTTGCTAAGGTCACATAACACGGGCCAGGAGGACGAAGGTGGCCCCAGTCCTGAGGGATGCCAAGGCTGCGGTCCCTCCCAGCACGGACCGTGCCGTCCCTCACCGGGTGTGGGCTGAGACGGGGCTCCCGCAGGCCCTCCTGCTGTCATGACTCACTGGCTCCTGTGCCCTCATTCAGAGTGTCTGTGAGGGTGGACGACCCTCTCCGGTTCCGGGCACACTGGGGCCCCTCCCAGCCCACGGAGGAAGCCCTTGCTTGCGTACCCAGCTTGCATTTCCACACGGGGACAGTGGGTGCCATGACCGTTCCTGGTCTATGTGACTGAGGAACGCCTCGGGCTCCCCCAGACCCTCCTAGTCCCCCAGCGAGTCCCCTCAGGAACTGCTCCGAGAACCCCGTGCTGGGCCCCCATACCTAACTCACACCGCCTCTGTCTCCTGGCACACTTTCCTCAATTCTTTGGGGGACGGGAAGGGGTCCTGGCTGGCCACCGCTGGCTGGAGGCACCATGGGCCCAGGACCCGCAGTGGTGGGTGCCCGCTCCAGGGCCGGGGGGGGGCTTGGCTCACCGTGGCTCTGAGCTGACCCCAGAGGCTGCTCCAGAGGAAGAAGGCCACAAAGGAGGAGGCCAGGAGCGGGCAGAGCCATCGCTTCCCAGCCTGGACATGCACTCACTGGGGCACAGCGTGAGGGCCACCGGCGGCCCTGAGAGCAGCAGGCAGAGGGTGACGGCGGTGACACAGGAGCGCCCAGGGCTGCCCTGCCTGCTGCTGTGCTCTCTGTCACCCCAGGTGCGTGGCCACACTGGCCGCACCGCTCAGGTGGCTTCCTGTGGACACTGTGGTCTGGCTCCAGTGGCCTGGCAGTCACACCCTTCGCTTCCTTGGGAGCCCAGCCATCCCCGGGGCCCGTGATGGGCGTGAGCACACGCGTGTGTCCACACAGCTGTGGATGGGGCCACTTTCGGGTCCGGCCAAGACCAGATCCTGCCCTTAGCCCACACTCACAGTTGGCATCGTGCGAGTACTCCACGCCAGACACGGTGCACCGCCGGAACACCAGCTTGTTCTCGGTCAGAGTGCCGGTCTTGTCAGAGAAGACGTACTGGACCTGCCCCAGGTCCTCCGTGATGTTCAGAGCCCGGCACTGCAGCCGCGAGTCAGTCTCCTCGTCGTGCAGCTCGGCGTCCTGGTGGATGAAGTACACCTGGCACACCTTCACGATCTCAATGGACACGTACAGGGAGATGGGGATCAGCACCTGGCAGGCACACAGTGGGCTGTGAGCGGGCGCCCGGCAGGTACACGGCGGGCTGTGAGCGGGCGCCCGGCAGGCACGCGGCGGGCTGTGAGCGGGCGCCCGGCAGGCACGCGGCGGGCTGTGAGCGAGCGCCTGCGTGCACACTGCCGAGGTGAGTGATGAGTACGCCACAGGGGAGCGACAATGAACCTTCCAGAGCTTACACGGGTGGGCTAGGGTCAAGAGCAGGGACAGAACATGGCAAAAGGCTTAAACTAGGACAGCCTAGGCGTGAGAGCGAGCAGAATCCACGGTGCCTGCAGCTATGGAGCCATGGTCCGGACAGAGGAGGAGCGCTCGGGTCACTAAGTTGTGCTTGAGAGGAGCTAGGAGAGAAAGAGGACAGAGCAGAGTTGCAGCATAGCCCACATTCTCACGAGCAGTCACGCATGCCACGGGGCACCAGACCCCGGCTCGCCCCGGGCTCTGAGTGCCAGGAGCTTCCCACCCCGCGACGTGACTCCACAGGCGCAGCGCACAGCAGACGGTCTTTCCAGCGTGGTCTGCACTGAAGGAATTTCTAGACATGTATAGTACAAGCAGAGGGGGATGGCTGGGAAGTCCACACGGTCACGCCCTCAGAGCGCAGGGCACGCCTTGAAATGAGCACTGCTTTAACTGTTCACATGTATCGCAGCCTGGACCCACATCCAAGCTCAGAGAGCCCTGCCCAGGCGAGCCGGGTCCTCCTGCTAACTTAACTGCGCTCGGGGGACAGTGCACAGTCCTTACTCAAGGCTGGACGGATGCACACGTATCCAAGAGACCAATTGGGGAAGCTTAGCAAGGCTGTTTCCCGTTGTAGGAAGCACGGACGGAGAGACAGCACGGAGCTCCTGGGCAAAGGCTACGAGGCTGTCCCTGGCTACCCTGCTCCGGAGGGGACTGGTGGTGACCCTCGCTGCCCTTCTCGGCCTCAGGCACTCTGGACCTCACTCTTTAGCAGACCTTGGTGGGTGGCTGTGAGCTGCTGAGGGGACATGTGAATTAATACTGAGAAACCACAGCGACGATCACGGTAAACCACGCTGACTGACAAACGTGACCGCCTGAACCGGATTTCGGGAGGCTTGGTGGGCTCAGGTCACTGCGGGGCACTGTGGAAGGCGGCGCAGTTCCCAGCGTGCCACGGTCATGTGCCAAGTTCCCGCTGCTGACACCGGGGAGGGACATGTGGGCACTTTCCAGGTCACTACAGCTGTCCTGTAGGTCTTAAATATATCCCAAAATAAAATCTGTATTTTTAAAAACTAGCACAGCAGGGTTGGCCCTGCAGCCCAGTGCTGAAGGGAACCAGGTCCCTCTCTCTGTGGCAAACACATTCACCCTCTGGCAAGAAAAAAGTAATTGAGAGGCAAAACGAAAACAATGACCAAAACCAAACTGTTGAAGCGTAAGAATCTTACAGAGAGCAAAGGAGAACCGTAGGTTGAAAGCTGCCTGCAGAGAAACTGTACAGACCAGTTGGAACGGGCCCGCCCTGTAGGTGGAAAGCCACGGCGGCACGGCAGGTCTCGGTTTCCCCGGCCACCACTGCAGGTGCCCGGTACTGTTACCTGAAGGATGATGATCATCGTCAAAAACGAGTACGCCGCAGCCGTGACTGGGGACAGGGGGCTGCCGTCAGCCCTGGGGACATCAAACAGCGATTTCTTTTCTTGAAGCCATCGCATCCACAGTCCATGTCCTACGGAACGTTCAAAGAGAACCGACATCACCCAGGAGGAACGCAGGGCCCTGGAGCTCACCACCTAGCACGAGCACCGCACTTTGCTGGCCCGCCTAGAGTGTGGAGCCCAAGCACGATTCTCGGCACCTGACCCGCTGGCGGGTGGGGCTGGTCTCAGACACTTCCTCGCACCAAGTTCTCCCTCCTTGGTGCTAGGGGGCACTTGTGGGCCCACCACAGGAACCACACGTGTGCTGGCAGCTGGCGGGGTGAACCTGGACAGGGCTTTCCCAGGGTGTGTCTCACTAAGCGCGTCTCAGGAGACGCTGAGTGAAGACAGACGGCGAGCTCTGGACACCGACCGCCACCAGCCCTTCTTGGACATCGAGAACTCAGCACTGGGCAGCTGTGGTGGTCAGGGTGACACAAGTTTGTGGTGCTGAAGCTACCTGGAAAGGTCCCAGGCCTGTGTCCCAGGGCTTCTCTCTACAAGCCAGGTGTGTGTGTGTGTGTAGGGGCAGGATCCTGGCTCACTGAGTCTAGGCTGGGGTGGATGATGGCATGAAGCCCCCATTTGGGAAGTGCCTCCCTCTTTCTCCCAAAAACAAAATAAATCAATAAACTTAAAAAACATCCCTACATTATATGCTCTGAGAGGTCAGTAGTCATGCATGTCCCTTCATGAATTGGGACCCACCCCATCTGGTCACAGAAGCCTGTCTTTTGTCCCCGGCTCCTGTATCTTTTAACACTGAGCTCTGAGAGCACCCCACACCTGCCTGGCACAGGTGAACAGGGATTCAGGGAAGGCAGTTTACTGGGACCTCGGCACTGCCCTACGAGGCTTTCCCACGGCAGCCTGTAGGTCTAGAGGCCAAAAGCCCGTGGGAGAGCTGACCGCTAGTCCCTCCTTCGCAGCCAGTCCTTCTATTTCTCCTTCCGTGGATGTCCATTCACGGGGTGCGTGCCTCTCCTGGGGTCAACTCCAGCTCATCTCCACCCATGGATACTTCCTACCCTGGACTTATCACTACTGCTGTGATGAAATTGCTTCTCTACTCAGGATAGAATTCAGAAAATAAGACTGTTTTGCTGAATCCACTTTCTAGGCATCTCATGTCATGTGCAAGCAGCCCTGCTGTCTTGAAGCAGTGACAAACGTGTTCTAACTGTAGAGTTCTGGGTCCAAATGAGCCAGGGCTGCCCACCAAGCGTGCCTGGTAGCTGTTCAGCAAAGCCCTCTTACTTATGACTGGCCTGGGAGACTTACCAACCGCTGAAAACAGAGACATACAAATGAGGAGAAGGACACACCAGAGTACATCACAGTTCATCTGCCTCTCGAGCAGGCTGCGCTTGTAGCGGGGCCCACTGTTGGTCAGCAGGGCCTTGGTCTCATGTCCTGTGTAGGAGTAGGGACATGATAAAATGGGATAGATGATACCGACTCCATAGACCGAATCACTATACTGCCTCCCAGTGATAGTTGAGGGATAAGCTTGGTTGAAAGAGCTGGGTATAAAATTAAACTTAATGTGGAACCACCAAGGAGAAACAAATGGAAAGAAATATGCTTAAATACCAAAAGAGGGGCCAGCCAGTCGTGTGGCAGTAACTCAATGCTTTGTGAAGCCAGACCCACTCAGGAAGGTCCCAAATTCATGTCTGGAGATTCTGCTGTGCATGTGGGTGTACACAGGCTGGCTGGGGGTAGACTGTAGTGTGAAGATCCTGTTCGGGTTCCTGTCTCCATCCTACTCTCTCTTATAATAAATATATAAATGTAAAGGAAAAAAGTAAAATGCTGAAAAAGAACACTTTTAATCAAGGTATTATTAGAAGAATTTTGGCTTTGCTTCTTTCCATTTTCTGAGTTTCCCCAACCTTCCTCCATAGCTGTACGCTACTCCCATGATCAGAAATAAGTTTTGGGGAATATCTGAGGACACAGGGCATCACAGCGTTGCGTGGTGCCGGGTGCCATGCCCACCTGCATAGATGACGATGCCCACGACGGCTTCCGTGTTCCTGATGGTGCACCCTCGCAGCAACAGGTTTTCTTTGTGCAGCCCAGCCTTTTTCCCATTGTCGTGTATGCTGTTGGGGGACAGGTGGCATGTGTCTCAGAGCTGTTCTGTCTCCAGGAAGGATGGCCTGGAGGCTGGACTGGGAAGGGGTGTGGGGACCCCAGGCAGGGGTGTTTGTTCTAGCAAATCTCTACAAGAGCTGAGGACACTGTAGTCCTTGGCCACTGGGCATCTCAGCAAGTGCAGAGCCCAATGTTGGTTAGCTTCACACATGGGCTTGTCCCGACCCCAGGACTTCCCCCAGCTAGAAAGAGCAGGACCTGGGAACTGTGGACAGAGTTGGGGAGTTGCCAAGGAAGGCTTTGGGAGAGTCTCCTGCTCATCAGGGAAAGTGCCATTCCTAGTCACTGCCTTGGGTTGTCAAAAAGATACAAGTGCCTTTCTAGAAAAGGGGGTGACACTGGTTTCAGCAACATTTTCTTTTACAACCTATTTTTTCATAATAAGTCATACTGTTATTAGAAATATTAAAATATTTATCTTTTTTTGGTAGAGGTTTTTTTTTTTTTTTTGCTATAATGTGCATGCATTCACCAGAGAGACAGACAGAAAGTGAGAAATCACCCACCAAGGAAAATGGCCACACTGCAATCCCTTCTCCGTTTTCCTCTCAGAATTTTGGGCATGCATACACACAGGCCCAGTGTGAGATTTTTTTCCCTTTTTTTTGAGAAGTTTTTTCTAATTGGGTGTGTGCGCTCGCCAGAAAGACAGAGAGGGACAGAGAGATAGAAAGAGAGAAATCACCCCCCAGGGGGGATGGCCACACCGCAATCCCTTCTCCTCCATTCTCCTCTCGGGATCTTGGGCACACACGCACACGCGCCTAGCGTGAATTTAAGCCACCGGGTCTGGGACTCAAACCATGGTCGACTACATGGAAGTCCAGCGACACAGCCATTACGCTAACTGCTGGTCCCGCCAGCATGAGATTTTTAAGCCAGTGGGTTCAGGGCTCAAACTGTGGTAGACTACATGGGATCTGGCAACATAACCATTACACCATCTGCTGGTCCCCAATATATTTATCTTGAAATGTGGAAAATGCCATGAAAGAACCTTATCAATTCTGTCAGTGCTGTTTAGATTCAGAAGAGCAGTCCAGGACAGACCATGGAGGCTTCTGGAACCACAGCAGGGGCCTGGCAGTGTCACCAGGCCGGGCCTCTCGAGAAGGCACCTTTCTGTACCCTTGGTGTGCTGTCCTTGGCAGCACCCCCCCCTCACACACACACACATACCATGGTCCCAATATTCCCTCTGAAGCTCTTGTCCTCTCACTGGGGGCTCCGGCAGGCCTCCCTGTGCCCAGCTCCTCAGGAGGAGTCATGGCTCAGGGCAGCTGGCATTTCTTGGTGCAGAAGAGCAGCTGTACGATCGAGTCCAGCTGAAGTGCACATGGCAGGCTGCATTCGCTGCACGTCTGCTGTGACCTCCACAGCACCCTGCCTCCCACAAACACAACGGGGTGTGCACGGGGTGGGGGTGGTCAGCCACAGCCCTGACAGCCACTTTGCATGCCCGAGACAGAGGAACCTGGTGCTGTAGTGGAACGGGATGTCCTGCAAGGCTGAGCCATGTGGGGAGGTTCCAGGTTCATGTCTGGGGACCCCACCGAGGACTCCAGGTATGCTGTGCCCAGGCCTAGGGCTGCTCGGGCATGAGGGCCTCTGTCTCCCATTTCTGTCTTACTCTTGGAAAAAGTAGGTGAACTGAAGAAAAAAAATGCTCAAGACCAAAAACCTCCTTGCCTACTAAAGCCCCAGCGGCTGTAGGCCGGCTTGGCACACAAACTCGCGCCACACTTGCTGAGTGACGACACACGGCCACCTCCTCCCATGGACAGCTCCCCGGGAGAGGCACATGGAGGCTATTTTCCTGGGACAGCAGTAAAGGGGCCACCTTGTGCTTATAACAAGACGCTTGACAGAGCGAGGGGAACACGCCACCTCGGCCGTCGGCAGAGACGTGCACTCTGGCAACCTCTGTGCATCTCAGCAGACCGATCTGGGCAGAAACACCTCAGAGGCCACCTTCCCTGGCTGCCCACGGGGAGAAACGTGTGGGGTGTCACACTGGTAAGGGCCGAGTGTGGGGGAGAGCGTGGACACGGGGGGCGTGCGGCCGGGGTCTGAACCGGGCGCAGCTCCCCACAAGGCACCACCCAGGCACGCTGGGTTCCAGCCCTGGCCCTTCACCCCCCCCCTTTCTGGGAGACCTTCCTGGAGGGCAGGCTCTCTGGCCCTGGCCTCCAGTTTCTAGAAAGTGGGCGGGTCACTGGAGCCTCTTTACCCTCCCTGGTCCTGTCTGCTCCTGCAACCTCTGAGCTGCCTCCCGCGGGTGCTCGGCCATCCCCTGGCCTCCTACAGGGGCCTGCACCACCCCACCACGCCCCCGGACACTGCCTCGGGGGGACTTTGTCCTTCCCCGAACACAGGGCCTCCAGGCAGAGGCCCCTCTGCTTGGCCCTCCCTGCACGTCTGTACCTGCCACATGCACACATGTGTGAGGGGACTTTAGAAAGTTACAGCCTAGGCTTACTTGGGTGCAAAAGAATTTGAAACCCATGTGTAATTTTTCACTATTGTGTTTTCCACGAAAATAGGTGCACTTCCTGTGTATGTACACACACAGCACATACACAGACGGCGTGTGAGCACGCACAGCGTGGACACGCAAGCACATGCACACCGGCGCCAACCCCGAGCCGCACTCACATGCAGCCGCGGAACCGCGTCAGGTCGTTGTTCGGCCTCTCACACTCGATGGCGCTGGTGAACGTCAGAGGGTTGAACTCCGAGACCTAGGACGGCAGTGTGAGTTAGAGACATCAGCGCTCAGGCCCACCCCAGGGCACCCGTCTCTGCTCACACCCACGGGGCCTTGGCGCAGGGAGATGCAGCCCACGTGCATGGGCGGGCTGACAAGGCAGCTCCCAGCAAGGACCTGCTGACCAGCGGTCTGGGGAAGTGGCAGGGGGAGGCCCACCCGTCGTCCTGTTCTCTGGACAGCACCGGCAGAGGAGCTGAGAGGAGATGCAGAGTGCAGCGGCCACATGGCTGCCACGGATCCCCTCACTTCTGGGGCCCAGACGCCTGTGCATGAAAGGGTACGAGGCACCTCCCTCGGGGTGCGCTCTGCTGACCGCAGCCTGGGAGCCGCCCACCCCTGCAGGACGGTGCTGAACAGGCTTCCTCGGAAGGGGACAGACGGACACACCCAGAGAAGCCAAGGGGACCCCTGACGGTGCCCGGGTGTCCAGACTGAAACTCCTGGCACAAATGCACGCTTCCCTCTCCCAGTGGAGCACAGCCGTGGGTAGCCAGGGCTGGCTACCAGCCGAGGTTCCGTGCAGGGACTCTGCCACGCCGACCACCGCGGGGCAGCATGCTCGGGCCGGGGCAAGTCTCCCCTCCTCCCAAAGCTGGGCCTCTGGGCTTGGCGTGGCGGGGATGGGGCACACCTCAGCTCAGGGCCGGGAGCTACGGGGCTGTTCTGACCATGGGTTTCACTTCCCTCCGTCCCACCTGCAAGTCTGGAAAGTGGAAATAGGGGGGTGCAGGCACCCCGGGCCGGGGTTTCTCTTCCTGCAGGCCCTCATGCCATGACCCATGGCACCCCCAGCTGGCGGGGCTGCACCTGCCTGGCACCCCAGGACCTTCCTGCTGCACCACCAGGGTGGGCCGGGGCTCAGGCTTCAATGTGCAGAGCACCCCCAGCTCTCGAGGCTTCTTCCATACCTGTGTCCCCATGGAAGGGCCCGAGCCTACCCACAGGAACCTGTGGAACAGGGCCCGTCCTGGGCACTTGGCGGGCGCCGCGGCACTGCAGGGCCGCGCTCTCACCCAGGGATTCGGGTTTCTGAGTGCCGACTCCAGGGCCTGGGCGCGTCCGCCCTGAACCCCTGTGGACAGCGGTTTACAGGTGGCTTGTCCTGCCTCCCCATCTCCCATGGGCATGGGGCCCATACAAACACTGGGGAAGGATGGGGGCTCCCTCATGGTTGACAAAAGCCCCCCAAGCCTCTTCTCTTAGAGGCCTGAGACAAACAGTCCAACCTCAGCCCGGAGCCCGCCAGCCCCCACCTCCTTCCCTGTCACCTGCAGCCCGTGGCAACCCTCGAATACCCGAGAGGGCTCCCCGCCCACTCGAGTCTCAGGGCTGCGGGAGACGCTGACCTCACAGTCTGTCCTCAGAAGGTTTCCTGCCTGGCGGTCAAGGCTCCGCACGCCTGATAAAGGCCGGATGAACAAACCCAGCATTTGAAGTTTTGTCCAAAACAAACCGAAGCCACGACCCTTTGAAGCTGGGTGTGCCGTGCGGCTCAGCGGTGTCGTGGCCGGGCCCTAACGGGTGGGGGCGTCCCAGGTGAGCAGGGCCATTTCCCTCCCTGCTGGAAGAGGCCAGGCACATGCAGATGTCTGCCTGCTGATCTGGGGCGTCCGCCTGCGAGACAGACCGTCTAGGGCTTCGGTCTCAGCCGGACCCTGACAGGCCTCCCTGCACACCCCAGGCCCATGCACTGGGACTCGAGGGGAGGCGTCCGGGCCCTGGCAACAACACCCACACTCCCTGCCTTCTCGCTGGGCTGGGCAGTGTGAGCACCTGACAGGCCCTCAATGAACATGGCTTGAGCGAAGCGAAGGCCCGGCCTGACCATGCACAGGACCCATCGCTCCTGTCCCCAGCGAACCAGCGGAAGGCCCTGGGTGAGCTCTGCAGCACACCCAGCTGAGGACCACCTGGTGGCACAGGGATAAAGCAATACTCTGTCATGCTGGATACCCGGAAGGTCCTGGGTTCGAGTCTCAAAACCTCCCTGAGCATGCCTGGTCCCTGTGTTTGTGACTCGGGCTGCTAGGTGGACGACTGGGAGTGTCCCCTCTTTCTCATGGGAGAAAAACCTTTTTAAAAAAACCCCAAACACCTAAATCCAATCAAGTCAGGAAGCAGGTTCGTCCACACCCAGGGGCTCAGGTGCTTTCTGAGGCGAGTCCCTGCTTTCCTGACAGGACGGCCCCGTGAGGTCTGGAGGCGTTGCCAGCTTTATGACGGTGCGGACGTGTCCTTGGGCCTCTGCTCAGCTGCCCTCACTCTGGAACACCCACTCATCCGAGAGGAGCACCCGCGGGCCCGTGCAAGCCGACAGCATTCTAGGTACGAGTCCTGGGCGCTCCACAGAAGGGGGGAATGGGCGCTCGCAGGTTCAGACACAGACTGGGGCGACCCGAGCTCGAGTGGCTGAGGCACCGCCTGGGGCTGAGCTGTGGGCCCACAGATGCCTCTCGTTGGGGGCTCTGCTCATGAGACGAGAGGCACCGGGCACCGGCCCCCCAGGCTCCCGGTGCTCCACAGCCCTGTTGGCAGAGGCCGGCCCACTCGACGGCCCTCACCTAGGCCTGCTCTCACAGGTTAGCGACTCCGCTCAGCCGATTCCAGGGTGCTGCCAGGAGGGTCCTCCTGCCCCACGTGGAGGGTGATGGAGGCTGGACCTGACAGAGTGACAGCACTTTTCTCGCTGCCCCTGCAGGACACATGCTCACCTGTGTACACGGGCACGCACGTTTGCATTCGCACACCCGTGTGCCCGTGCTCACACGCACTCGCACACACGCTTGTGCACGCCCGTGGTGTGACTGGGTGGTGTAGTCAGCCCTTCCTGTTGGTGGAGAAACCCCTGCTCTGGGGACACCCCCCCACACACCCCCTCAAGCCCTATGCAAATGCTGATGCAGTGACACCACATTTTCAAAGAGCTGCAATTTAATTAGCTGTCTCCCCCTTTAACAATGAAACAAGTCAAAGGAAAAGTAGTTTCTCAATGTACCTCACCTCAAGTAGAATAATGACCTCCTATTTCTTTTCGCCTTGAATAGAAAATGACCACTTCCACCCTCATGAAAAAAAAAGTGAAGTTAAATGTACACGCGATGTTTCAAGTTCGTTTAATGTGACAGGACCTTGTTGGGTAGACAGTGTCAACCTCCTGAAATAACGGTCAGACTGCGTTATTCTCTATCAGTGGTGACTTGACCATGGACTGAAGGAGAACATTCCACAGCAAAGTCACCAGAGGTAGAAGCAGGCCCCTTAGTACTAGTAGCTCCCTCCGAGGCTCACACGGGTGCTCGTAAAGGTGTGGCACGTTTCCGAGAGTCGCATCGGTGATCTGCAGAGAATCGCTGTCCTCGAGGAATTTACGGCTGCCTTTTCTGCTGAATACTGCACGCTCTTCAAGAAAACGGAGAACACCCCACGGCATAGACTGTAAGTGTGTTGGCCGTCTGCTGATGCGTGAGCGAAGACCGAATCTGTCTGTACAGCTCTGAGGCTGTGACCAGGAGCACACCCGCCAGCCAGCACTGTCTTCCACTTAGACACGGGCACGTCGCCTTGTTCAAGGCCGGGATGCTGAACGTGACCAAACGGAATCAGAGACCAGTAGCAGGAAAACCTACGAAAAGCAGGTCGAGCCGCGAAGTGCCTTGCGTACTGTTTCTGCTCCTGTTTGCTTGTGGGAGAGGTAACTGCGGGAGTGCTGGGGAGACAGAACAGGGACCAGCGGGGGGCACGGCGGTGACATCGATGGACCCCCACATGGCCGATTGTGGGTCAGATACCGGACCTGCTGGCTTGGAACTCATCCAGGCACGTGTGCATGTGAGACCAAGACCCGGGGAGGAAAGTGGAGAAGGGATCGCGGTGTGGCCACCTGCCGGGGGCAGGGTGATTTCTCTCTTTTTCTCTCACAGTGTCTGTCTCTCTCTGGTGAGCACACGTTCCCTAAAGGCAAAAACATCTGTAAAATAAATAATAAAATCAATGAATAAATAATAGTCTAGGCATTGCCTCCTCTCTGGCTGGAATTTCAGAGTTATTGTTCCCAAGTGTTCAAGTCGCTCTGGCAGGCCAACTCTTCTGTAAACGCCTGGAAGCACCCAGCACCCAGAGCACCACTGGGAATTTAGTAACCACGAAAAGGGACTTCGAAAGGTTCATGGAGAAATGGAATTCAAGGACAAGTTTATTTTGGTGCAAAAAAAGTCGAATTCCATGCATAGTTTTCTCTTAACATGCATTTTCCACGGCTCATTCCGAGCCACCGTGCATTCGCAAAGCAGAATGAAGCCACCTCTTGCGTTAGACTCCACGCAGGGCTGGCGTGAGGCAGGTTTCCAGAGCAGCAACTAACTTCTTCCAGCCTAGGGAAGTTTCCACTTCCTCTCATCTTTCCTCCCTATTGGGAACACACGCGAGCATGCACACGCCTCGACACACATGTGGGAAGAGTTGGCGACTGGCTTCCTGCAGGCCCAACGGTTGCTGCTCCACACGGTGCCTCCCGATCGCTGCGGCGTGGCCGGGACTGCAGTGGCGAGCCTGCCTGTCCATCCGAGAGGCCGGCTGCTGCCAGGTCTTCCCCGTAAGTGAGCTGACATGGAAGTTACCTCCTGGCTGGCTCTCGTGGTGTGTGCCGACGTGGCCTCTGGGTGTGGGCGCTCCCATAGACTCGGGGAGACCTGCCCTGCTGCCTCCGCCCCACGGAACCACCCCCAGTTCTGCTGGACGGTTCACTCAGCACCAGCAAGTCCCCTTCTGCCCAGTGCGCCTGTTCACCAGGACCCGGATAGATGTTAGATGCTCCCAGGTTGGGTCAGGGCAGCGCCTGGATGGCACGTGAACACACGTGGAGTGAGTGCCGTGAACACACGTGGAGTGAGCGCAGAATGATGAACACGGCTCTCTGCTGTACATCAGCCACTGCCCGGGAGCCCCTGCCTCTGTGCACACTGCCGATGTGCCGTACCCCCGAGGCAGGTGGCGACCCCACGTGCGGAACTACACCTGGGCTGTCGGAAGCGTGTCAAGGCACCTTCACTGTGAAAGCAGCCAAGGACAACTGCACCATGCTTCATGGGAGAAGCAGGGGACCAGACTGACAGTCCTGCCAATGGATGCTCCCTGGGGATGCCCACGGTGCCCCAGGGCCACAAGCTCCCAGACTGCAGCTCCAGAGGTAGGCAACCCGCCCTAAGGCCCGAAGGGTTCTCTCCTGAGGAGCTCCTGTGAAGGGCACTGTGGTCCCCTGCAAGCACACCTCCCTGCATTTGGGGCGCGTCCTTCACACAGGCTGATGGGCGCTGGCAGGATCCAGGCCAGGGTCACAGTGGGCCAGGCCTAGGCGGGGAGGGGCCTCAGCCAAGACCATATTCCCTGTGGACGGACACTCGTGCACCCCAGGGTCCCCTAGAGCTTGCCCTGGCAGCCCTCACAGAGACCTTGGGGCAGCACCCATGGGGTCCCCAGGCCCAGCCTGCACCCCCCACAGAGACCTTGGGGCAGCACCCATGGGGTCCCCAGGCCCAGCCTGCACCCTCCATGCAGACCCTGGGGCAGCACAGCGCGCTGGAGTGTGTGTGGAAGGAGCGCAGGACCCTCGTTGAGCTGCAGCTCCCTCTGCGAGGCTGGCCGGGGCAGTGGTCAGACCCGCCCCCGTGCTGGCCCTCAGTCTGCTCTCAGGCATTTCTGAGCCGTGGTGGTGGCAGAGACACCCAGAGGTGCACGCTTCCTGTCATCACTGGCTCCAGCCACTCTGGTCCCCGCCCGTCAGGCATGTCCCCAACCCGTGGACCCCTCAGCCACCCCAAGGACCTCGGATGCACTCAGGGGGAATCAGCATCGGACGGGCCCCGCCAGGCGGTCGTGGGTGGGCAGGGCGAGGCACTCTCAGATGCTCAGTCCCACCCCCAGGGACAGCAGCCTGGCCCAGGGCAGGGGACATGCAGGTGCGCTGACCCCCGAGGCCGGCATGGGAGACGCCCGCGTGTTACTTACGAGCTCCGAGAAGCCGCGGACCACCTGCCGCCGCTTCAGGTTGGCCTCGCCGTCCAGGGTGGCCGTCTCGATGTGGCACAGCCCATCGGGGTCGCTGGATGCCAGCAGTAGGACGTCTGCGGGGATGACCTCGTTGCAGTGAAGGCGCACGAAGTCTCCCACGCGGATGTCTTTCCAGAACCGCTTCACGTACCGCTTCTCCTCCCTGGGGAGAGGCTGGTCAGCCAGACGGGCCTGGCGGGAGCTGGGTGGGGGTGCGGTGTGGTCCCCACGCTCCCGTCTGCTGCCCTCTGTGATGGGCAGGTGTCTCACGAAGGGCATGGGGGGCTGGACCGTGGCCCAGAGGTGACACTGCTCTCTGCAAGGCTGACCCGCGCTGGGAGGGCTGGCTCCCACCGGGACCTCATGGTCCGATGCACGCCCTGGAGCTGGCAGGGCTGGCTGCAGTGTGGGCCAGGGTGCTGCCCGCCTGTCCCTCTCCAGGGCTCACTCATGGGAGAAACAGGCGAGGGCGACACACTGGTGATGCTCCCGGGAGGCAGCCACGGCACAGCTCCACGGACACAGACGTGGGTCAGGCAGGGCGGGCAGGGGCCTCCTCGGGGGCAATGGCAGCCCGTGGGACCTGGACACACTCCATGTCACCTATCACTCCAAAATGGTGGGAAGAGCGCCCGAGGTCTACGTCCCAAGGACTGCCGGCCAGGACCAGGGCAGCCCCGTGAGCGCAGCTCATGACAGCATGTCCGCGAGGTGACTGGGACGCAGCCCAGGGTCCAGCCCGAGGGGCGGTCACACAGTGGCTGGGCCCCCGAAGGCCACTGCTGTGTGGACGGGCCCTGACGGTAGAAGGACCGGGCACAAAGTGGAGCCTGCACACGCCGCTCAGCGGAGGGACGGGCGCTGGCAGCCTCAGAAACAAGAGACGGGCCGCAGAGACAGGCCGCAGAGATGGGCAGGGAGACAGGGTCAGCTCTCACAGTTCCAGGCCGGGTCGGGCCCACACAGCGATCCGCCCGTTGGAGCCAGCCCAGAGCTCGGGCACACGGACATGCCCACGTGTCCTCAGGAAGGCTCCGGGTGCAAACCCCGTTTCCCATGAGTCTTAGGGTGTGACCACCACGCCACCACCTGGGCCCTAGGAGTTTTTTTTTTTTTCTAGGGTGTGACCACCTGGGCCCTAGGAGTTTTTTTTTTTTTAAATTCTGGAAAAACAGGCTTAGAGTCCTACCAAGGCCATCGGTAAGAGCTCTGACCACTGATAGGTCTGCGGATGAGGTGGCGGCATCTTGACTAGACCCACTATACAAGAATGCCACCGGGAGGCACTCGGGGTGGTGCCCGGGGCAGGCAGGAGACACAGCCTGCCAGGCCACGCCCCTCCCGCTGGCCCCTGCCTCGGAACTGCGGTCTGCGCCCTTCCCAGGGAGGGGCCTCTGAGCAGCACGGGGTCTCCGGGTGGGCCCGGCTGGGGGATGCGGAGAGCCGTGAGAGCTGGGGGGAGGCCCCATGTGCTCCTTCTCCCCCACGGCAGGACCAGCGGGCCCCTGGCAAATGCCCAGGCTGCAGCTCTCAGCTGTCGGCACTGTGACACTGCGAGACAGGCCGCCTCCCCCACAGGTCTCTGTCCTCGCACCCCGGCCTCCGGCACTGCCAACGCCGACATGGCAGGGCTCTGGGTGCCGAGGGCCTGCGGGGGATCCAGGAGCGGCTAGGCTGCGGCACAGCAGTGACGTGGCTGGACCCGCAGGGGGAAGGCCCTGGGTTTGAATCCCCAGACCCAGCGGTGCAGTGCCAACACGTGCCCATGATCCGGGCCGCGGTGGATCATAGGGAGAGGACCGGGCCGGGCTAGCTGGCCCTGTGTCTCCCTGGTGGAAGAAATAAAATTAACTTTAAATAAATACATAAAAATCGGACCATCTGGTGGCATGGTGGTTAAGGCAGCTGGGTCCCACATGGCTGACTACACGGTTCGAGTCCTGTACCTGGCAACTTGAGAACCACGCTGGGCACGTGTATGTGCACTGTCCAGATTCCAATTAGAGAATGGAGGAGAAGGCACTGCAGCGTGGTGTCCCCCAGGGAGGGCTTTCTCACTTCCCTCCCTAGAGCTTGCATGTCTGCCAACAAACTAGAAAGTGATAAATAAATAAAAGTGAGTACAAGGCCAGATGTACCCCAGGCAGTGCCCTTGGAGGCCTGCTGCCAAGTCCCTCTCACATGTCTGCTAACAAACTAGAAAGTGATAAATAAAAGTGAGTACAAGGCCAGATGTACCCCAGGCAGTGCCCTTGGAGGCCTGCTGCCAAGTCCCTGAGCGGCCAGCAAGTGCCCCCACCACCTCCGGCTACTCGGGCCCACCACGGTCAGCCCAGGGCACCATGGGGCCCAGGGGCCGCGGCCGCGGCCTGCCCTATGAGACCCCAGCCTGAGGCCAGCATGCTCTGAGACAGGGCATAGGCATGTGCCCATGACCGGGCCACTGGGCCGCCCAGCCTGCTCCCAGCAAGTCTGACCTCCCCATGCAGAGGCAGGGCCTGGGTGTCTGCTCTATGAAAACGCTTTCCCAAAGGCCAGACGTTGGCTTTGTTTACTTTAACGCCAGAGGGAGAGCGGGAGAGCAGGGGTGGGGAGACTGAGCGAGAGTGGGAGGGAGGGAAAGCCTCCCCATGGGGCCTGGTTACACGGCAATCCTTGCCCTGCAGGTCACTTCCTCAGGACTCTGGCACACACACACGTGCTCAGGGTGCTGCCCAGGCCACTTCCTCAGGACCCTGGCACACACACACACGTGCTCAGGGTGCTGCCCAGGCCCTGGCCAGCACGTGGGACCCAGACGCCCCCAAACCGTGCTCCCTGCCGAGGCAAAGCCCAACCCAGTACCGTCACCAGTCTGAGCTCTTGGGCTCTGCCTGCCATGAACTTTGCCGGCTCCTGCAGAAAGCACATGGCATTTCAAAGGGCCTGTCCTGTTGGGATAGCTCCCCAAAAGCGGAAGTCATGGTTCTGCCACAGAGAAAGCTGTGTGCACCTGAGACGCAGGCCAGGCTGTGGTGCGTCTCCTGGGGTCCCCGGGAGACAGGGCGGCCCTGGGACTTCCCCAGGGCAGGCAGACAGGAGCCCAGCTCTCCGGCAGGCAGCACTGTTTACAGGACACATTCCATGTAGCCTCGCGCTGTCTGTGAGCCTCTGGGCGTGCTTTCTCAGCTGTGCGAGCGTGCTGCGGCGACGCCCCCTGAGGCCCTGTAGGGTCACGGAGGCTTATAGGACTACACTCCCTCTTCGGAGGAAATCTGGTGGCATTTGTAATCCGTCACGGTAGGCCCCACCGTTCTTATCTGACCCTGAGCTGTCCAGAACAGCACAGCACAGCAGTGAAAGGAGGAGGCCGCACGAGGAAACTAGGGGCAAACTGCAGTGGGAGACGGTCAGTAAGAGAAAAACGAGGCTTACTTCAGTGTCTGTCACTGCTCCAGGCGGGGACGAGCTATTTACCCGCACTCCTTAGTCTCTAAGTCGCTGAGTAAGTAACTCCGTAAGAGGAGGTGGCTGGCCTGTGCACCTCCAAGGGACTGTTTAAAGGGCTGCAAGCAGTTTTTGTTTATTTCTTACGAGAGAAAGGGGTGGGGGAGAGAGAACCCTCGGCAGGGTCTTGCTGTGCTGCAATCCCCTGAGAGCATCCCAGCCAGCCAGAGTCCCAGACAGGCCTGCAGGTGCGTGTGCCATGTTCAGGTTGGCTTGGGATCTGAACCCAGAGCACCCCATGTGTCTAGAAAGCACCCGGAGTTGGGCATGGACAGACTGCAATCCTTTTTCCTCCATCTTCCATTCTACCAGGATTTTAGGCATGCACACACACATGCCCAGCATGTTTTTCAAGCCTCCAGGGCTGGGATTAGAACCGCTGTCAGTGGGAGCTGGTTTCCTGGGCACAGTGCTTAGCTACAGTGCTATAGGGCCAGCCCTAGGGTTCTATTGGCTGAGACACAGAAACCCTCAGTGCTTTGGTCTCTTGGCCCCAAAGTGTCCTACAATGCCTCAGGGGTCCTTTATAAATCTCTCCGAGGTGGGAAGATGGCTCAATTTTCTAAAACCGAACACACTTAGATAACACTGAAAAAAGCACGTGAGGGAATGAGAGCCGCAGTTTCATTCGGATGCTTTGTGGATTTACATGTAGGCTGTGTGGGTACAGTTCTTGCCAACAGCGAAGGGGCCACGTGTGTCTGTGTGCACACGCATGCACACACTGAACTGCCGGACTGCACGTGCTCGCCAGAGTGACAGAGAGCGAGGGAGACGAAGGCACCCCCGGGCGTGCTCACACCACAATCCCCGTCCCCCATTTCCCCATGCTGCAGAGATTTGGATGTGCATGCACGTAACCCTGGCAGGCTTCTCAGGCTACCAGGACTGGGACTTGAACCACGGTCCACAACGAGGGATTCAGCCCCCGTTAACACTGTGCTGCAGGGCTGGCCTGGGACAAAAGACCGACAGTAACAGACTCCAGCCTCACTCAGCCCTGGGGGCTACTGCTACTCCGTGTGCAAGGCTAGCACAGCGACAATCAGTAGGCGCTGTCTCTGTCTGCAGCCTGGTGTAGGATTCGTGAAGGCGGCCATCCCAGTGCTGAGAACCAGCGGGGTGGGGAGACGCAGGAGCACACACATCTCTGAGTGCCCATGTCAGGTTAGGGTGGGCAGGAAAGAGAGTGAGGAAGACAAAGAGGGGACAAAGGTGTTGGAGTTCTGAGCGCCAGGAGGTGTAAGGACTTCAGAGGGTGGACACTTGCTTTATGTAACCAGGGACTACTTCCTGGAAGAGGGGGCATCTGAGCAGATGCTGAAAGATGAAAAGTTTCAGCCTAATCAAACCCCACTCCACCCCAAGGGACTCCTGAACTGAGGAGTGGGAGTCACTGTGGGAGAGACAGGAAGGGTGGTGCCCCATGAGGACACAAGGGTCAGACTGTGGGTATCCTCCTCCAAGCAGGTCCAGCCCTGGGACGGTGACAGATCAGGATGGTGGGGCAGTGGGGCCCAGGGCACGGGGCAACACCAAGCCCCAGGGCAAGGCGGGCTTTGATGAGGGATGGAGATTCAGCTGTGAGCAACCTGGAGCCAGGAAGCCAGTGAGGGGGCTCGGGGCAGGGGTCACAGCCCCCAAGACAGACAGCGAGGGATACACAGTTGGGGCCAG